ATATTGCTCAAGTAGTGCAGCTTTGCCTGAGAATGGCTCTTTTTTTTTCCTTCCTATCCCAGTGTTTTTATTTCTTTTATTTATGTGTCTTTATTGCCACAGGCTTATGTTTGATCCATATGCAAAAATAGTGTACGATTATGTGGCAGGAATTGAAGATATTAAAAAAGCTAAAGTGTGCATGTATTCCATTCAAAATTTGTCTTATGTTACTTCAGATAAATTGGGAATTCGCAATGTTCTCATTTCATCATCTTTTGGCGTAGGTGCGAACAGTGATTCCTGCAAGTAGTTCTTTTCAAGAAGATTGTGGTGCGATTATGTCCATACTTTCTTTGATTAGTTTGTTTTTTTCCTCTGAAATTGGTGTCAGTAGCTTATCTTCTGTACTGCCTTGGGCACATCCACAAGCACACATTTAATGCTTCTTTTGCAAATGAAAGAAGTGGTCTCTGATTCATCATCCTCTGCAGCTCGTATCCTACGTGCAATAAGGATTGCTGCTCGTTTAGGATTCCAGATTTCAAGAGAAACAGCTCACTTTGTCAAAAACCTGTCTTGTTCAATATTAAGACTTGACAAGGTATGTTCAAAACCTTGTGCTTCTTCTGCACTTTTTATGTATTTGGTTTACATGATAATGGCGATTCAACTTATACTATCTCATCTGGATGTTTCAGGGAAGGCTTCTGATGGAAATGAACTACATGCTGGCATATGGTTCTGCTGAAGCATCTTTAAGGTTATTGTGGAAGTTTGGACTCCTAGAGATACTTCTACCCATTCAGGTAAGAATCTTATAGTGCTTTATCTGCAGCTTATTAGCTATTGTACTGAAAGTTCTGATGTAACTTCCTTTTGCAGGCAGCATATTTTGTTGGTACTGGCTTCCGAAGACGTGACAAAAGATCTAACATGCTTTTGGTATGTTTGCTGGTTCTTTTTTTTTTTTTTCCAATCTTAGGTTGATATCTCTCTCTGTTTATTTGCTTGATCTTTGAAACATCAATGACTTTCTATTGGAAAATATTTTTTGGCACAATTTTTACAAGGTACGTATGGCTCTTTGAATATGTAAAGATAACTTTGGGCTGCATTGGGACTTTGTTTGCCACTGCTAATAATAGTGTGTCATGGGAGGATTTATGCATCCCTTTAAAGTGAGTTGATGTTTTCTTTTTCTTCATTGAAAGTCCTGTTTTTTCTACTATGATATGCGAACTTTTAGGTAGAGCTTCTTTTACACAATAGTTTCGAGGCCAATACTAACTTAATCATAATATTTATTATGCAGTCTCTGTTTTCCAATTTGGATAAACTTCTGGCACCTGACAGACCTTGTCACAGTAGCTTATGGTAAGATTCTCGTTAACAGAAAATGTTTATGAATTTTTTGAATGGATTTAACTCCCCCAAAAATCATGATTTTCCCTGCATTCTATGCTACTCCTGGGTATTATCTGATTGATCTTCCCTGAATATTCTTTGCTCCCGTGGTATTGAGTGTGCTTAAGGAGTTTGTTTTCTTCAGTAAATATAGTTGGGAAATCTCGGAATGATCTGAATAAAACAGCGCAATCCATAGTGAGACATTTTGCTGTGAATATCCCTCAAGTC